TTAGCGCGCCAGGCTCGCTCTGTGGCCCCATCACCCCTGCCCTGCAGATTCAAGCACCCAGGGTCAAGCCCCATGGCTGACTGCTCTGCAGTGTCATTTCACTCCTCCGGGGCTTCATTTAGTCAACATCGACTTGTTCTAGTACTCTGGGAACCCTGGTGGGGAGTGGGTGCCGCCTAGGTGGGGAGTGGGTGCCGCCTGCAAGGTCAGCAGTTTGAAATCACCAGCCTCACCGCGGGAGAAAAACGAGGCTTTCTACTCCCGTAAAGAGTTGGTCTCAGACACTCACCGGCGCAGTTCTAGGCAGCCCTACAGGCTCGCTGGGAGCCAGCGAGGACTCGATGTCAGTGAGTTTCGAGTGAATGATATACTCACCGTGGTTCAGCGGTAAGATGCCCGCCTTCCACACGGGAAACGGGTCTGATTGTCGACCCTCGTCCCTCCTGTGCCGCCACCAACACACATGTTAGTGGAGGGCTATCCTCCAGAAGAAGGGGAACCCGGAGGAAAGGCCTGCTGGTCTGCCTCTGGGTCCCAGAGAGCTGGATGGGGACTGAATGGCACAGCGACAATGCACTGCACCTGGCAGAAATAGTCCGGGCCTTTTCAGAGTTTACCACTATGGGTTAGAGGCGGTTGGTAAGAAGATACTCAGAATGCCATGAAGGGAGTAATCAAGGACACCTGGAGGCGGGCCCGGCGACAGGTGCTGCCCTGGGCAGGCTTCCTTGGGTCAGCGGAGGCCAGGGGTTCTGAGAAGTAAGATGTGAGCGGAGCCTGAAGCTCAGCAAAGAACGGAGCGAGGCAAGGCCACGCTGGCCCATGGCCGGCCGAGGCGTCGGCCCAGGGTTCTCCTGGGGGAAGCAGGGCCTTGGGGCTCTGGTCAGGGATGGGGATTCGAGGTGCACTGGCACCTGTGGGAATGAGGGTGTGGGGAATGCTCCGGAAAGCTCCTTTGGCCGTGGGATAGTGCAGGTATTGAGCTCACCCAGAACAGAAGCAGAGAGGTCTGCCATCCCCTGTTGTCCATCCAGATGGAGCAGTGGGCAGTAGGCTTGGGAGGAAAGGGCAGTTTCAAGGTGGCTGCTGATGGGGAAGCGACAGGCCTCGATGTTGGCATTGGATGCCCAGAGTGAGGGGGGCACGGGGTGGGCCAGGGAAGGCCAGCCTCCTGGGGTGGCACTCGGGCTGCTCAGGGAGCTGGAAGGACAAGGAATAGGACAGGGGCGCTGGTGGCTCTGCCGCGTGTCCCACATAGACACGGAGCACAGGCACATGCTGAGAACCACTGGCGTAGAGATGGTGCTCAATGCCGGGGGCCACCAGTACAGAGCTCTTCCAGCCGGAGACTGGGGGCCACAGTCAGAAAAGCAATCGTGTGGGTCACAGCATGTCACTAAGTAGAAGAAAAACCGAGCAAAACACAGACCGATCCCAGGGAACCGGTGAGCAGTGGCGAGTGCTTACTGTCCTTCTCTGCTGCGCAGCGATCCTCCTGGTGTTTGTGGCAACAGGCAGCATCTTTGAGCCTGGTGAGTATGAGGCACCTGGTGCTCTGGCAAGTGCCTGGCTAGCCCTTCACCCGCCACCCCCAAACCTCCACTGTGCACACCCTTCTCACTCTGCCCGGCTCTCAGGGCCCCCATATTGTCTGTTGACTCTTAGGGCTAGTGCCCCACGAGGACTCCCGCCCACAGCTGTGGGGTCCATCAGGGCCCACAGCAGCCCAAGGACTGCCTGGAACTGCCCCATGCAGTTTCTGAGGCTGCAGTTCCTGACAGGGGCAGACAGCCTCATTTCTCGCCCATGGAGTAGCTGGTAGGTTTGAACCGCTGACCTGTTGGTGAGCAGCCCCCGGTGCTTAACCTACTGCATACTAGGCCACCCCCAAATCTCTTCTTCCCCTCCGCAGCCCTCACAGGCAGGAGCTGGCCAGGGCCTGGTAACTTCTGACCACTTCCTCATCAGTGACCCCACGTCAGTGACATCAGTGACATGGGGTCACTGATGAGGAAGGAGCTGGACATTGAGTCTTGGGCTTGGTGTTGGCTCCTGGGAGAAGTCTTGAGCCACTCATTCATGACTTTCTTCCATCATGCACACATTCATTCATTCATTCATTCATTCACTCAGCACCCTGAGACCCCTTCCAATAGGCCTGGTATTATCCCAGCACTGGATGATCATGATGAATGAGGCTTGACCTTTGTCCCCCAATTTCCTAGACCTGAGACAGATAGCAAAAGGCCCTTTCCCCAGCGGGGGTTGGGGGGTGGGGAGGTGTTTCAAGCATCCCCAAGCTGGTTCTCCCCCACAGAGATTCCGCTCCTTCAACTTAGCGTGGGCCTGGGTGGGGCTATATTTAAAAAGTGCCCAGGTGACTCTAAAGTCCAGACCCAGGGGCCTTGGTCCTACCCTTTCCACTAGATGGCCTTGGCCAAGCCATGCATCTCTGTGGCTCAGTGTCCCTACTTGTTAGACGGTCACTGTGAGTGATAGCACCCATAGGGGGTCTCTAGGAGACCTGGGGGACCCTGGACTCCTGTTGAGGGCTGCGTGCACCTTTGTGTTTCGCTTGTTTGGGGCAGACAGGAAGCCACAGGGGAAGGGGTGGGGAGAGGGGGGAGAGCAACCTGTGGGAGGCCCTGGCTGAGAGCTGTGTGGGGACTAGGGTCAGGCCAACTGGTGATTGCGACTCTCCGGCCCCAGCCCTGCAGCTCCTTAGCGGCAGCCCCAAGACTTTCACTCGGGTGGAGGAGGCGCGGAGCTGGGAGGAAGCGCTGCGCTTCTGCCGGCAGGTCTACACCGACCTGGGCGACCTGCAGCGCATGGACAGCGTGGGCGCCCTGATGTCCATCTCCTCCTCTCTGGGCTTCACCGAGGCCTGGATCGGCCTCTTCTTCAACGCGCGCACGAATGGCCTGAGCTGGTCCAGCGGCTCCACCTTCAGTGTCCTGCAGTGGATGGAGCTGCCTGCCTTCTCCGAGGGCCTCTGTGCCACCATCTTCTCCTATCCCCCTTACTTAGGGGCCGCCTCCTGCACGGAGCAGAAGCCCTTCCTCTGCTACTACGGTGAGTCCAGCCATATGTGCGGGGCTGGGGGGGGGCGGTGCGGTGGGGAGGGCAGAGAAAGCCCCCGGTCTTTGCATGTGTTAGGGAGTCGAACGACTGCCTGCGTCTTCCTTGCCGACACCAGATGGAAGTACATAGATTGCCTGGCCTTTATGTCTGCAGCACTGCTGTGGGTTTGAACTGCCAACCTTGCAGGCGCCTGCTGAGTCCAAACCATGTATGCCACTCGGGACGGGGGAAGAGGGCAAAAAAGGGGACCTAGCATGCTCTTTCCCACCCCCCAAAGCATAGCATGTCTCATTGACGGGGTGAGGGGTGGGAAGCAGCCACTGGGAGACTTGTGCTTCCAGGGACCAGGGGTGGCAGCCAGCTCCTTGTCCTCTGGATTTTCTCCCATTGGGCAAGGTTTTAGCCCAACCCCCTCCGCCCTCCAACAGGAGCAGGGAGGACCAGTATTATGTGCCCCCAAGCTACGGCTACACCATGCCTGTCCCAGGCCCATCTCAGGGGCCTTGGCATGCCACTTGTGGTGGGCTGTCTACCTTCCCGACGCTGGCCTTTGAAAGGCCCACAGGGCCCAGTCCTGGCTCCTTGGACCACAGGCATGCGTCGGAATGCACTGGGCAGCAGCTGGTTTGAGGCATTTGGGGCTTCAGAATAGAGTCTGCTCGGCCATTTAAAAAAATATCCCAAACCCATTGTCTTCGAGTCTATTCTAACTCTTAGTGACCCCAAAGGACACAGTGGAACTGCCCCTGGGGTTTCCCAGGCTGCCAGTGCTTATGGAAGCTGAAGGCCGCATCTTCCTCCTGTAGCTGGTGGGCTCTAACCACCAGCCTGTGGTTAGCACCGAGGGCTAAGCAGTGCCCGGCAGGCCCATCCACCCACACAGGTGCTGTATTGGCTGCTGAATGGATGTCATTCCCTGGGAGCAGGGCCTTTCCAGCTGTGCCTTGGCAGCTCTGGCCTCAGAAGGAGGTCTGGGCCTTAGCCAGGTGTGATGTGTGGTCTTGTCCCTGTCTTACAGACCCCGCCGTGGGCCACCGCACCTTCCCGGAGCCCTCACTCAGCCTGACTACCAGCCCCAAGCCAGGTACACAGCATTCAGCTGCCCTGCACTGTGTCTTTGGCTCCATTTGCCTCTCACACTGCCTAACAGTCTGGATCTGGCCCCTTCACTTCCCCACATCCTGCCTTACTGCTTGTCCTGAGGGGTCTCGGGGCCCGCTGCCCCCAGCCGAAGCCCAGGGAGGGGACCAACACCTCTGCGGGGCAGGTGGGTCCAGAAGGGGAGGTGGCCTGCTCAAGGTATCACAGTCTCGGCTGCGTCCCTGCATTCCTGGTGCCCCGTCAGAGAGACCTGGGAGTCCGGGCTCCATGTGTCCATCTGGTGTGAGGAAATTTGCTCTCAATTATCCCCCTATGGGAAGGTATTGCCCTGGAACTAAACCCCCTCACCCCCCCACCCCCCACCCCAAAAAACAAACAAACCCCCAACAAACTCCACATCTGGTACAGACAAGCTCTAAGGCCATATCTTTTAGGGGCAATGACTCGTGTCCATCCGTGCTGTCGAGGGCGTGTTCCGCACGCTTGGAGGGACAGTGTCCAGGCTTCCCCGGCAGGCCAGCTTCCACTGACTCTGGCCTCTCCTGGGTCAGCCTCACAGCCTCCCTCAGCCTCATCCCTAAAACGAGGCTCATGGATCTCCTTTTCTGGATGACCCTGAGGATTCAGGAAGGCGGTGTCTGCCCCAGGCACAGCTCAGGGCGGGCACGAACAAGCTCGGTGCTGTGAAAGGCTAACACTGGGGAGTTTTTTTGGTTGAAATCAGTTTTCCCATTGACACTGAGTCGGTTCTGACTCCTAGCAACCCTATAGGATAGAGTAGAACCGCTCTACAGGTTTTCCAAGGCTGTCGCTCTTTAAGGGAGTAGAAAACTTCACCTGGCCCCAAAGGAGAGGCTGGTGGGTTTGAACCACTGACCTTGTGGTGAGCAGTCCAATGTTTCCCTCACCGTGCCACCAGAGCTCCTTCAATCAGGTTTAGTGGAGAAAATACTAGGCAAGTCTAGGACCCCTTGGTGACATAGTGGTTAGATGTTGGGCTGCCAACCATAAGGTTAGCAGTTCAAAGTTGCCAGCCCCACCGAGGGAGAAAGATGAGGCTTTTTCTCATAAACAATTACAGTCTTGGAAACCCTCGGGGGCAGTTCTATCCTGTCCTATAGAGTTGCTATGACTCATAGCAGTTAGTTTGGTTTGTGGCTTACTAGGCAAATCTGGAGGGGCTCCGGTGAACAGACACCTGTTTTGGAGGTTTTCTGTATGTGAGGATGTGACTCCCACTTCTGTAAATGGGGGTGTTTGTTTTAGCTGGGTCTCTGGTATCAATAGCTCAGGTCATGGCCACTGGCTATGGACAGGGTTTCTTCAAATTTTCATGGTGTAGAATCAGGTGTGTGGCTGAGATGGAGCAGCTGAGGCCGGTCCAGCCTAGAACAGAGACTAGAGGCAGAGGCCGTGGGAGCGTACAGCTGAGCCCCTTCTGTGGTCAGGCCAGCACAGGCATGTGGGGCAGGCCTGCTCTGCCTCCTGCTCAATCAAGTCTGCCCCCACCCCCACCCCCGGCTTCCTTCTCCACCTTCCTTAACATTTTATTGTGATTTGGAAGATCCACAGAGCAGTTTATTGGCTTTATTATATCCACCTATTCAGAGACATCTTGTTTCATCGTATTCATTGTGACCCTGCATTCCCCTCTCCATTCTTCCTTCTTTCCCAACTCTTCTGCAGGCTGTCCTTGGGAATGCCGCCCTTTTGGTCTTGGATAGCTGATTCTTCTAAGGTGTGCCCACCTCACTAGTGCTATTGTGCCCCTTATAGACCTGCCTGTTAGTCGGCTGAAAAGAAGGCCTGGACATGAGTTCCGTTCCAGATCTGAAGGGGATTAAGGGTCCTGGACTCGGGAGATTCCACCAGTCCATCAAATCAGTAAACCTGGTCCATTTTAAGAGCTTGAGTTTTGTTCCACCCTGTCTTCCCACTCTACCCAGGGCCTTCTAAAGAGGTCCCTTTCAGAGCAGCTGGGGCTGGGAGCTAGGCACCGTCTAGTTCTTGTGGTCTCAGGGTTGTGGAGATCCATGCTCACGTGGCTCCTTAGTCCACAGGTTCCCCTCGTTTCCCTGGTCACCCACTTCCTCTGACCTCTATTCTACCTCAGCCCTCTGCCAAGGACAGTCCTAGGAACCAAAAAATGAAGCTGACTTCAAATCAGAATGAGCTCCTCTCCCAAATTAAAAAAAAAAAAAGTCGCATCCACTCACTTCCTAAGGACCATGTGTGTGTGTCAGAGAAACCCTGTGCCCCCTGGAACTGCTTCAAGGGTGGCCTTTTCACACACAGCCTTTTCTTTGGAGGAGCCTCTGAGCAGACTCAATCTTCCAGGGTGCTGTCCAGGGTGCCCACTCTCTGTAACTACCCTTTATTTTTGTAAGTGTTTACAGTCGGTACACATGGCACGCATCTCTTTACACACACATTCCTTCAGTGCGGACCTGTGTGCTATGACCATCCCCGCTGCGCTGATGGCCTCCCCCCGTGGGATTTCCTGTAGCTGCTTGAATGCCAGCTCGTCCATCAGCCCGATGGGCATCCAACCTGCCTGGGCCATGCTAGCTTTCCTCAAACCTAACACCCCAGGGGTGTAGTGGGTCAGGCACTGACTGATAACCTCGGGGTCGGCGGCTCAAGCCCCCAGCCCCTAGTAATAGCCTCAGGGCAGTGCCACCCTGCCCTAGGAGGTTCCTCCTGCGTCAGAATTGATACAAAGGTGGTGCTGTTTTTATTACTATTATTATTTAACACGGAAGGTTAGGCAGAATTATGACCCTGGAGCCTGTAAGGCCTGGGCTGTCAGGGACTCAGAACCTCAGGCCTGTGGTCCCTATGTTTTTGGCCCCCAGCTGGAGGAGTCAAGATTGGCCAGCAGACCTTCATGCTGTTTAAGCAGGTAGCGACGTGGCCCTCGGCCCTGCTATACTGCCGCAGACATCACACGGATCTGGCGGACCTGCAGAGTGTGGCTGATGAGGCGGATAAGAAGGCCCTGAAGTCTATCACCAGCACCACCGAGGCCTGGATTGGCCTGTACTACAACGCGGCCTCCAGGTCCATGAGTTGGTCCAGCGGCTTGGGGAGCAGCATCCCGGCCTGGCTGGAGGTGCCAGGGCTGGAGTTGTTCCAGACGGGCCTGTGTGCAGGCCTCCGCGCCTACGCTGACTATCCCCCCAAGGTCTACTCACTCGTCTGCACTTCCCTGCAGCCCTTCATCTGCTTCTACGGTGAGTGAGCCACAGGCTAGCACAGGATGCGAAATGGCTTCACAGGGCCCAGTCTCTGAAGCCATCTCCAGGGACCCTCGAACTATAAACACTATAAACGGGGCCAGGGAGTTGTGCTACTGTCATTCTGGGGGATCTGTAGAGAATGGAATGGCCCCAGCCAGGCCCCCATGGGGGCGGGGGGGGGGGGGCTACCCATGTTGTTGCCGTTGATGACAACAGAGCGAAACCCTGCCCCACCCTCTCAACTGTCACGTCTGAGCCCATTGCTGCAGCCCCCGTCAAGCCATCTCATCAGGAGTCTTCCTCTTTTTGTGTGTGGCTCTTCTACTAATGAGCAATTAGCAAATGCCAATAGTTATCCGTAGTTAGGAGCCTGGGCTTTAGGCTTAGTTCAGCTGGCCTCTGAGCACGAGAATGGATGGGAAGGACCTAGTGGCGAGCCTGGTACACACTGATCTGAGCTGCGGTTATTTTTACTTTGAGATGCGTGCGAGAGGCAGGCGCACTTGGGGGGATGGGTCTCCTTGGCAACAGCATGTCTTTCCTCCTTCCTCCCTTCCCTGGTCCTCAGTTCTTGTAACTTACTGAGCTGTAATGCCCGTCACATACACACAGTCCTTCCTTTGAAAAGGCAAGCTGGTCAGGAGTCCATGTTTAGTGCAGTCACCGAGTCGTGCAGCCGTCACCACTCTCTCAGTTTTGGGACTTTCACGCCCGCTCAGGACACTTCGTGCCCACCAGATGCCCCTCTCCATCTTCCCCCTCTTCGGTGCTGGCAACACCTACCGACTGACGCCTCTGTGGATTTGCCTGTTTCTCTTTGTGTTTGGGACTTGTTCACATCAAGACCCTTCTCTGTGAAACGGAAAACTCGTCGGTCCTCTCTCTTCTGGAGCTGCTGAGAGGATGAGGGGTACATTCCTCAGGGACCTGGGCCCCGCCTCAGGGAGCTGCCCTTATGCTGGCTCTCGCCTTCTCCTGCAGATCCCTCCATCGGACACCGGGAGTCAGCAGAAATCCCCCTGATCGCTCAGGTCCCTTCCGCACAGGATGCCAACTGGACGACTCCCAGGCCAGGTACTGGCAGCTGTTCTCTGCTCCCTGTGGGTGCTGGAAGGGAGCCCTAGGGGCTCAGCAGAGAAGGCCTTGGTCTGCTAACGGCAAGATCTGCGGTTCAAACCCACCAGCCACTCCTTGGGAGACAGAGGGGGCGGTCTGCTTCCATAAGGACCGTCGGTCTCAGGATCACGAAGGAGCAGGTCCACTCTGTCCTGGAGGGTCGAGCTGAGGGCCATGGCCTCCCCCAGTGGCAGTGGGTGGTTTGTGTCTTGTTCTGTTTGGGGGATGGGTGCTTTGAGCTTGTTCTTAGCTAGACCTCAGGATCTCCAAGCCTGAGAAGTGGAGAAAGTGGCCAGCAGCCAGGGCTGACGAAGGGCCAGGAAAGGAGTCCCTATATGTTCACACAGTGGTGGCTGGGTTTGAACAGTGGGACTCAGGTACCATTATCCCTGGATTGGGTTCTGAACCTGCAGCTTTGTGTGGGTGGGCGAGGCTAGGAAATCTGGTGAGGAGAGAGAGAGAGAGAGAGCGAGAGCATCCCGGGGACAGATCCTCAGCCAAGTCTCTGAGCTCTCCATTGCCGTCAGAGGGAGGCAGAGTGGAGCTCTGGACAGGCCTGCCCTCAAGAAAGACCTCCTGAGGGTTTGAAGCCTGACTGCAGCTGCCTGAGGCTCTCTATTCCGCTCCTTTCCTCAGACCATACACAGTCTCTGCCTGGGACAGCACCCCCATGGCATGCAGTTTCCCAGACATCTTCACCGCCATCCCCTCGTCGTGCGTGGGTCCCGGAGCTGTGAAGCTAACCAGGACAACTGAGTACAGAGCCACATCCCTCCTGACCTCCTTACAGATGCTAGACAAAGGCATTATTGAGGACAAAGGGCACAGGGGACTTGTTCAAGGCCACAGAGAACTTTACTAATTCATGTGTTCAGTGTTCACTGCCACTGCTTAGGGACCCAGGGCACACTGAGAAACGGCAGGGCCTGTCCTGAGGAGTGCACAGACTCCTTGCACAATCACAGTGTGGGGACACATGGATATCCAAGCCCCTGTGACCCTCCTTAGGAGGGGTTTTTGGGAAAGGTGATGACGTCCCAGTTGTGAAAGATGAGTGGGAGTTAGCTTACATAGGGGAGTGGAGGTGGGGTGGGGTGGGTGGGGTTGGGAAGTGGACTATAGAAGGAGCTATAGGTGGAGTGAGCGCAGAGTGTGAGGGTCCTGGTCCTTGGTTCAGAAGTTGGGTGGGAGTCTGTTTTGTCTCCCATCAAGGGTCTCACCTGGCACCCACCTGGCTACCCAGCCTACTTGCGACCCTGCTACCCAGGCTGGTACAGGCGGCCAGACTGCTCATCCACATCTGCAGTGGGCGGCATGGTCAGCCTAATGTGTGCCCTGCCTCCCCGTTCCTCCTTGAGCATCCTGTGGGCACCCTGCCCTAGCTGCTCAGCATCAGTCAGGGTCTTGGAGATTGTGCGGAGCAGTCCTGGGGTCAGGGTTTTAGAAACCATGGGAAGCAGCCCTGGGGTCAGGGTCTGGGAGACCATGGGGAGAGTCCTGGGTTCAGGGTCTTGGAGACCGTGGGGATCAGTCCTGGGGTCAGGTCTTGGAGACCATGAGCAGCAGTCCTGGGGTCAGGTCTTGGAGATAGATAGTGGGGGGCAGTCATGGGGGCAGTGTCTTGGAGACCGTGGGGAGCAGTCTGGGTACAGCAGCTGCTATGACAGCCTTTTCTTCTGCTTTAGAGGCCAGATCTGGTTCCAAGGCTCTCCAGTCCCTGGCGACCACCGAGGCTCCCAAGGAAGGGCACAGGACCCAGCGGATCACCACCCAGAGCACGTCTTCCTTCACTATCACCCCGATGACCCCAGCCCCGAGCCCCACGGGTCCCATGCCCACTGGCAGTCTCGCTGTCCTCCAGAAAGTATCCAGATCTCCTCTGGCATATGCTTCGAGTCCTTCAGCCACGTCCCCATTCCCGGAGGATCCTGCTACCCAGCACAGGCCTGTGGCCAGTAGGGAAGCTGCAGGTGGGGCGTGGCTCAACTCTGCCCGCACGTCCAGCCCACCACCCCGCACCTACAAGGCTCTGGAGTCTTCCGGGCTAGGGAACCCAGCTGTGTCCCAAAGAACCACTGCCCAAAGGGCTGCCACAGCCCAGAGCCAGCCCGCCCCCCTGGAGCCAGGTGCCTGCCCATGTAGCCGAGAGGGGACCCCACGTCTGCCCGTCCTAGCACATGAGCCCCCACTTGGGGAGAGAGCCTGGGTTGCCATGCCTAGCTCAACCCACAGCTAGGGAGTGAGGGTGAGGGGTGTGAGGTGGGTCATTGACTGAGCAACTCCTATATAGACAGAGGCACTCCCTGCAACCCATGCAGTAGTGAGGGGGAGAGGGCCATCTGTAGGGGGAGCCTGGCAGCCAGGAGTCTGGAGTGCCAGTCTGTGCGGCCTTAGGCAATTACCTAATGTCTCTGAAGCCTGTTTTGCTCATCTTTAAAATGAAGAAAATGCCATCTTCCTGCGGTACGTCTCTCGTGCCTGGCACCTGGTAGGTCCTCAATAAGTGGCATTTGAGACCCTTGTAATCCTTCCTCCGCCCCCTCCCAGGCTGGCCTCACTCTGCTGCGTTCACTATAACCAGTCAGGCAGGATCACAATGAGGCATCACTGGGTCGCAGGCGCTGGAAGGGCAAAGGCTGTTGAGATGAGTGCTTGAACGTCAGGGTCCTGACCAGCGCCTCTCTCCTGAGCAAGGCGCTGAGTGTGTGCGAGCTCCGTCTCATAGGATGGTCACAGGAGCCCCCGGCAGGGCGCTCAGGGCTGCCCCCAGCCTGCAGACAAGCTGACATGCTCACTCGGCCTGACGGTGCTCATTGGACAAAAGGTGATGAACATTTCATTGGGCAGCAAAGACTAGAAGGGTCTTTTGACAGAAGGAACGAGAGGTAAAAGTGTATGGTCTGTTTGGGACTGGGAGCCATGATGGCATAGTACTTACGAGTTGGGCTGCAATTCACAAGGTTGCCACTTTGAAACCACCAGTGGCTCCATGGGAGGAAGATGAAGCTTTCTACTCCTGCACAGAGCTAGTCTCGGCAGCTCCACACCCCCTCCCCCTATAATATAGGGTTGCTATGATCTGGCAGCCACTTAGTGGCAGTGAGTTGGCTTTTTGTTGGGCAATGGCAAGCAGCCTGATGCGGGGGGGTATAAGTCACCCATAGGAGAAGGGCGTGGCGGTGGACTAGGGAGAGAAGGGGGTGGGGGAGACAGTAAAAGTCGGGATCCCGTCCGTGGCCTGTCTTTAGCCAGTGAGCAAACTGCTCCGATCTGAAGCATCCAGAGACGAGGTTCGCATGCAATGGCCAGTGCGTGCTTTAAGATGGCGAAGAGAAAAGGCCTCTTCTCCACGACACATGCGGCCGTACAGCACCGTCTGAGGGGCGCTCGGCGAGTGCACCAGAATGTGGGTGTTCCCTCCTCTTCCGCGGTTCTGTTCCGCACGCTTACTGATTCCATGGAGGACAGTGGCCGCGCGTTGAGTGGGGAGAGGAGAGGCGAGGCAGGGAGAGCGTGTTGGTAGGAGGTGGCAGTCTGGACGAGGGAGCGGAGAGCTGCTGACGGGCAGTGGCACGAGGGGGCTGAGGGAGTTGACTTTGGGGGTAGCTCCCGAGGGAGAGTGAGCTTTGCTCGGTGAATCACAGGAACGTCCACGAAAGCCAAGATGCCTGGATAGAGATCTGGATGGAAGACGGGAGAGTGCCGATGTCACGCGGGGGCAGCTCCACCATCTCAGAGCACCCGGCTGTGAGCACAAGCTGCTGCTGCTGCTGCTCCCGTCCTGGCAGCGGTCACTCCTCCCAGAAGGAGCATCGGAGTTCCACCCCTAAAGATGGACGGGTCTAAGGTGGCGAGAGATAGGGTGCCCCCCCACCCCCCCAAGGCGGGCAGGGAGTGGGTGGTTGGGTGGGCTGCTGTTGAAGCTTGTTGATTACAGGGAACCGCTGGCAGCAATCTTCTGTTCGTCAGTTTGGGTGCAATCGTGAAAAACGACGCAGCCTTCAAAGAGATTAAGATCGACCTTTGTGCGTTTTCATTAAAAAAAAAAAAGCATGGGAAGGGTATTTGACTGCAAACTGCTAAGCAGTGGTTGTCCCTGGGCCGAGGCAAGGGATACTTAGGCTTCAATATTTTAGAATACTATGAAAGAAAAGCAGGATGGGTATTTGGGAGTGTTGGGGGTCGGGGGAGGGGAAGGCGTGCCAGGCAGGCACTGACAGGGCTTTGGGGACCGACTGGACATGGAAGCAGGGAGGGTGTGAGGGGTCAGCAGAGGCTCCCTGGGCTGCTGGCTGGAGAGGAGAGCTCGGTGGATGGCCAGACAGGGAGGAGGCTGAGCCTGCGGTGGGGGGTGGGGGTGCCAATGGTGGTGATCTCTGTGGTCTCTGGGTGCCATGGTGCGGGCTCCATGAAGCTGGCTGACGACATTGAGTATCGGGTTTCTGGGCAGGTGTGGGGGCAATGCAAGGAGAAATTTGATATGAAAACTGATCTCAGAATATTGTCCAAACCCCTCCCATCCTGACATCGGGACACTTTCTCTAGATGGGGCTGTAGAAATCCAAGGGCTGCGTACAGGAACCCACAGGAGGCAGCCAAGACTGGGTTGTGTAGACAGCAGTGCTTGTCTCCGAGTTCAGACTGGGCACCCGGATGGGGCACCGGGCTCGGCTGTACGTGAAGTAACTTCTTCCCCCCTCCTAGCTGTGACCAGTGTGGGGAGCGGCATCGAGAGCTCCACAGCTGCTCTTCCGCAGGCCCAACATCTGAGTCCACATACCGGCCTAAAGGCCGAAGAAGAAACATCAGCACCACCAGAATCAGGTAATTACTTCTGTTTAGGAGCCTTGGTGGCAGTGGTTGCCTCTTAGGCTGCTAACTGCAAGGTCGGCAGTTTGAAACCACCAGCTGCTTCTCAGGAGAAAGACGAGACTTTCTACTCCGGCAAAGTCAGTCTCGGGAACTCACAGGGGCAGTTCCATCCGGTCCTATAGGGTCATTGAGTAGGTATGGACGTGAGGGCCATGAGACCACGTTCCTGTTGTTTACACCGCGCAGTTGCATCTAAACAGCCTGAACTCTGTCCTAGTGCGGGGCCCTGGAGGATTTTTTAAAAGGGCACAGCAATGGGACTGAAGAAATGGAGTCTGTCTCCAGCTAAGTGAGTGGAGACTGGGAAGGCGAGGGCAGGTGTCCTCACTTCCAAATCCCAGATTTCTCATCGACAAAAGGGTCAACACAAAAACTACACTGCCTCATCCGGGCTTGTTTGTGGGCCCGGTTACTCACCGTCCCTTAAGAGACCCTGGAAATGTGAGCCGGGGAGAAGCATTTTCAGCGTGGTGCTGAGCACTTGCTTTATCCACTTAAGAAACTCATTGCCTAATGGGTGATCAGGCCGAGGCAGAGAGAACACGAGTGGAACTCTTGTGGCCCCGTGGATCAGCCCTAGCTGGGGTCCAGCCTCTCCCGCGCAGCAGTGGCTTCCTTCCCGTCTGGAGTCCTATTAGTAGGCAGCATCTATGGTCTGTGACTGGTGCTCCTCACTACCAAGAACTAGTTTGCAAATGACAGTAAGTTAATCCTACCCTCGAAACCGGTAGCATTTTCTATTTCAGGGCACTTTGGAATCTTGAAAGCAGATTTTACCATCTCAGCTCTCATGGACCCAGATGATCTGAAAGAACGATTTTTGAGTGAGGTGAGACTCCTGCCCAGTTCTCCTTCTAATCTTAGACGACTCGACAAAGCCGTACAGACTGACATTGCTGACCATGCAAAGCAGTGTGTGGAAAAGAAAGCGTTGGGGATGTAGCTTGCTTTGCTCCCACTTCCGCCACTTTCTCTTCCTCTCACCAACACTTTTCTGGAGCGCATCTTTATCAAGAGAGCAGTCAGAGGACCTGCGTTCGGGTCTTGGTCTCTTGCACTTGTTAGCTAATGTGAACTTTGGCCTTTCTGAGCCTCCGTTTCCTCAGAAATAATGGTGTCTAAGTACTCGGCTGCTAACTTCAGGGTTGGCAGTTCAAAACCCCTAGCTGCTCTGTGGGAGAAAGAGTCTGTTTCTGTAAAGGTTGAATCCCTGAAAACGCTACGGGGCAGTTCTAGTGTCCCTCTGAATTGGAATTCAGCTTGAAGGCTATAGGCTTTGGAACTCATATGGCTGGTGCTAAGATTTAATGAAAGATTCCATAGAAAGTGCTTAGTAAATTATCTGGCACACACTATGTGCTCAATAAATATTACCATTATCAACATGATTATTGTATTCTGAATATACATTATTCCTGTAGCTCCTCCCGCCCCCCTCTTTTAAAGTGGTGTGGGATGAGAGATTGTGGGAGGAAGAAGTCCTAAGCACTGTGGCAAAAACCTTAAAGTGGACTTCTGAACAAAACCTGGGGGTGCAGGACGGGTGTCAGAACGCCCTCCTGTGGGTCACCTTGCGCCATCAGTTTTATCAACGAGGCAGGCTGGTGTGAGTCTGCTAGCTTGACGCAAGTTACTCACTGGCCCAGAACCCACTCGTAGGTCCTTTGTTCTAAAAGCGTACAAACCTGTGTTTCTACAACGACTGGGACTGGGTGTGCATGAGTCTCTTGCGGGCTGGAGGTTGGGAGCTTTCAGTGCATTTTACCATGAAGGGGAGAGCAGGTGCAATTCTGCACCTGATAGATTCTTGAGTTGAAGGCGAAGACTGCAAGGGCGCATGGTAGTGCTACAATGCCTCCCTGGTAACGGCGCCCAGTGTAGGGGGTTCCGTGGTTAAGGAATGCAGCACATGGATGAAAGACCTTTCCCTCACTCTGGAGTTGGGGGCGAGGCCAGCAGAAATTGCACGTTGTCAACTTTTTGTTTTCTTCAGGTCAACGTGTCCAGTATTTGGTCGGGCTGGGTCCTTCGGCACTTTGGGGGGATGTTCTCACTGAAGCTTCAGGCTACCGGACACTAATTTCCTCTTTTAAATTGGACTCAGAATGGGGATATTCTTTCTTCCTCTTCTTTTTTTGTTGATGTTTCAGATCCAAGAAGTCTTAAAGCTCCAGCTAAGTCACGATGACTTCAGACTGACATGGGTCGGCCTCGAAGTGAACAGCAGGGTGCACACATCTGCTGATTTTGAGTTTCCTTCTCACACAGCCTTCCCCGGGGTTTGAGGGATTTTAGTTTGGGGATTCCTACTGGAAAATAATTATAAATAACTGATGCACATTGGACTGAATCTGGTTTTCAACATTTCCTGTATTTTTGTTTTGTTTGTTCATATTGGGGTGTATCTCTGAGTGTTAAGCCCTTGGGGGTCACCCTCCTGAAATGTGCTTGTCTATGTATGAAACCCAGGATTGATGAACCTATAGGGACTGCTGCAAGTAGAAAAAGGATTTTTTTGGGGGGGTGGGGGGTGGGTAAAAGGGAGACGATGTCAAGGAGTCCAGAAAGGAAAAGAATTTTTGGAAACTGATTGTACAATGCTGCTTGACATGATTGAACAATGGAATTTTATATCTCTCTCTATATTCCTAATTAATAATTACAACTCCAGATGTGCTAAAAAGGCTAATGGCTTAATTTCACAACTAAAACCAGCACAAAGGAAAACTATGTGAAACCTTCACTCATGAATTTTCTAGACTGAAAACATGATAGCAGGAGAAGATGAGGTCTTTAACCTTGAGAACAAGACAAGACCAAAAAAACCCTGAGCCAAACCAGGAACATCTTGAAACAACCCCCACAACACAGCCAAGCCACAGGCAGCAACGCTAACGTGGCCACTGAGGAAGACAGGAGTGGTACAGCGTGCTCTGTGGGGCCATACTTCCCAATGAACTGGGAGAGACTTTGTTCATCAGCCACAGGCTGCACTCTGGCTTTCTGCACACAGATCATTCATGTAACTAACAAGGCAGAGGGGCTGTGGTTTGGAAAATACACACTGTGTGGCAGGCATTATCTGTGTAAAGATGTGCTCAAAAGATTAAAAGCTCTCTAGGATGGGCACTCTGGAAGGGTCTAAGCCAGTGAGTGGTTCTCAGCCTTCCTCATGCTGCAGCGGCCCCAACCATAAAATTATTTTCATTGCTACTTCATAACCAATTTTGCTACTGTTATGAATCATCATGTAAATATTTGATATGCAGGATGTATTTTCGTTGTTTACAAATTGTGCATAAAGCAGTGATCACAAAAACAATATGTAATTATATATTATGAAATATTTATTTCTAATGACAAATAAATTTTGTCCTGAAGCATGGTGTAGCATGGATAACAGTCTTCACGCTGGGTCCTCATAGGTGGGCGGACCTGCTTGTGGGCGGACCCGCCTTGAGGTGGAAAGAGGAGCAGTGTCTCGGGTCTTAAGACCCCTGTGAAAGGGTTGTTTGACCCCTCAAAGGGGTCACGACCCACAGATTGAAAATCGCTGGTCCAAGCAAACACAAGATGTGTGGACGCTAGTTAAATGTCCTGTTTTTCAGTACTTTTTACCTGTACGTTCATGCTAAGGCACGCTCTTCCTGATGTTAAACTATGCCTTCAGAATGTTGTTTCTACATGTTTTTTCTTTCTTTTTCTCTAAGTGTGGTAAGACTCAGAGGCATGTGAGAAGTGAGATAATAATCTTTGCATACAGCACCAAGTTTACTTTGAAATGTTTAAAGTTAAAGTTTATTTGTATTCTTTGTAGGAATATCAATAAAAGACCTCAAACATATCTATATCTGTACATGTACAAGAACTGTCAAAAATTATTCACAGAACAAAAATAAATCTTCTTTAGAACAAACCCAGGTAATGAAATGCAGATATGGGGCTCACATATGGAACAATCTAAGTGCTACCAGCACAAAAATATGGCTTTAAAAATAAAATAAAATCTTGAGTTTTGTTTTTCTAAGGTGTATTTCTCTTTCTTGAAATAAAAATAAATTATTTAGAGCTATCATTGTAAAACAGTCGTGTGTAAGGACACACTCTTATTAAGGCCCTGGAGATGAGGGAGGGAAAATCTCTGATTTTAGAAGGTAAATTCCTCACAGGTGTGATTTGGGTGAATGTGCTGCTGCTGTCTGCTTGAGTTCATTATAGTCTAAGAAATGTTTAAGCACCAGTCGAGATGTAGCCTTTACTACTTATTTGAACTTTTCTGCAAGGTGGTGGTTTGAGTCAACTACTACTGAACCTTTCAGTGACTGAGGAATTAAAATGTTTTCCCTTGGGAGATTTGAAATGACATAAATGTGAGATGTATACATAAACATCTGCACCCACACACAATTGATGGAGACCACTGAAAATGAGGTTCTATGGAGAACTTTCTAGAACAGATATATCTGATTTTAAATGCCCACACCGAGAGAGTTCCCTATGGAAACATGATGGTATTTCATTGAAAACTAAGAACCGAGCAGGAACTTAGTGTACATGTTGAAATGAAGTGTGGGTTATAAAACACTGCCTGCCTGTTCCTTGAACTTCCCAAGTCTTGTTGGGTTGACTGAGCCAACAGCTGAGGGTTAACAGATCAGTAATCAAAGTCAGTTCTTTCTCCATCAGTGAAGCCTCCCTTTCTTCCCAGGACTCCCCATGGCACCAATAACAATATTTAGGTTACTGGGGACAATGTCAAACAAGATCAATTTCGAGTGAATTGAACTTATATTTGCATATAACACATATTGTACATTTTAGGAGGAAAGAACGAATGTCATAAGCTTTACAAACAAAACTGTCTGGGAATCACTACTGTGGGATGGATTAACCCTCAGAACGGGCAGGCCTCGGAAGTATGTGCGCGTGTGCGCCCATGCAGATGCACGGCTGCCTACAGGCCCAATTATCCGGTTTGGAAGCGCCAGCGAGGGCTATGCCTCCTGCTTCCCTGAAGCCACTGGGCTGTGGACAGGCATCAGTCCCTTTTTGGTTCATGTATCTTCCTCAGGTGCTTTCCCTGCTCATGAGATATTTATTCTCCCCCATGCACATTTCATCACTCTCGTCTTTCCTACACTCGGGGTATTCAAAACTGGATCAGGACAACAAGAGGATGTCTCTAGAACCAATGCCAATCATTCAAACATGAAAAGAGCCTATTTAAAAATGCAACACTCCAACATTTCCTCTCTTAAAAAACAAAACAAAACAAACCTAGTAAAGTTAAGTCCTTCAACTAACTTGATTGATAGGGAAAAAGACCCACCAGGAACAAAGTATCCCAAATTCTCCGCCAGAGGCTCTCACGGTGACATTTAAACAGGGCAGGGAGTGGAGCAGACTGCCGTCTGACTTTCCACAACATGAAGACCACGTAGAACATCTCCCAGGACGTGGCTGAGACAAGGGAGGGACGCTGCTGCAGAGTCTCTGGTCCGGAGCCAGGATTACTGTGGGGCGGAACTTTGGGTTTGAGGTAACCCTGGGCCTTCCTCCAGCTCAGTCCCATAGCCAGCCTGCTCAGGAACTCCAGATTGAAGGGCAACTAATTTTAAGAGGAAGGCAAACCACCAGTGCAGGCTTTTTTGATGGCAGTTGTCTTGCTCTGAGGCTTTCAAAGAACTGATCCCACCCTCGCCAGCCTCTGAGGACAGAGGGAAGCTCGGCGCCTGTAAGAATTACAGGCCTAGTAGACAGAGATCTGCACACACGCCTGAGGGCAGAGGGTAACTGTTTATAGAAAGGGGCAGAAGTCCAGACAGGAACCCTTGTGTCCTTTCACCCTCAGCAGCACAGCCTAGCACCATCAGAAGAAAGGGGCGCTAGGAACCCCTCCGCATGGGAATTCTGACTGGCTCACTATCACGCAGAAAAGCAGAACGCTGCAGCAGCGTGCTTACCTCACCCCAAGAGCCCACTGGTCCTAGTGCCTGGGATGCAGCCAGTGCTCCAGCGTCCATTGTCCTTGCCCGGTTATCACCTCCCCGCTGTCATGGCTTTTTATTGCAGAGACTCAGGCAATACAATGACCTGACAGACTCTTTTCTGCTTTTTAGGCCCAGGAAACCTATTGCTCGTGATATGAAAGGGGAGCATGCAACTCTTTTCTTGAATTCTACCAACATTTGACTATATTCTTTGTAATGGACAAGTCTGGTGGTCAGCCAGGCAAATGCTGAGGGAGCACGTCACCCAAATCCTGAATCCCACTCACCCTGCTCTGCCCTGCCCCCCATCAAGGAGTACAAGACTCTGTTATCCTAGCCCCCTTGTTTCTCTTCAACCAGGAACCTCCGCCTAGCAAAACAGAAGTTATGTACCTATTCGAGCTGAAGGAACACCTCCATAAAAATTCATTATCCAATGTTGCTGCTTTCTCCTATATAGGTTCTATAGACTGCAGTATTCTCTAAAGAAACAGAAAATGACTCAGATAGGCTCAAATTACAACCCTAAACTTAACAGCTGGCAACAACTCTGAACTTCCATCCTGAAACCCTGCCCCTACTCTTTTCATTTAAGATAACTTGATAACAGGGGCTGTACCCTCTATTCCAAAGTTGCAGGCATTCAATCTTCCAATGCTGACAACCTTGTCTGGAGCTCCCACCAAGATACACTGCATCCGTCAAAAACACATCTGACTTTTTTGTTCCCCTTGGCCCCCATTCAGGTAATCTTTTCAGTCTTCTATAATCCATCACCAACACTCGAGAGCCCCCAAACCTCCATGCAAGAGACCACTCACATTACATTCTCTAAGCCATTGGAAAGAACAGTTCTTTTACCCGGTTTTCTGAGGCATACTGGGAGCTTTTCACATGGGAGAAATTAAACGTGGCCAGAGATGGGATGCTCTGCCAGCGAGAAAAGCTGATGCTTATGTTTCCCTGCCCCCGAACAAAGGGCAATGCTTCAGCACTGCTAACTCATTTTCCCGAACGACCTGGCTTTGACCACACTGTGCCCTCATCTTGGGCAGGGCACTAACTGGTAAAACAACTAACTAGCAAGGGTCCAGAGAACACCTGGCCATGAGGTCTGCGGAGCAGTTAAGCATGGTAAGCCCCCTTCAAGATTACTGTCTGGAACTAACAGAGGTTGTTAGGAAGGAAAGGTTTTCAAAAGACTCTGGGGGGCAAAGGAAGGGCCATGGTGTGGGTTACTCAAGTGCAAGGGTTACTACAGAGCTCCACGTGAGGGAGGCGCTCAGGAGAGCAGGGCACAAGCCCAGGCCCTGGAGAAAGAAGGAGGGCATGGGGGCCAGTGTGGGCTTCACGAGAAAGAGACACAAACGGTCCCCTAACAGCCTCTGTGATATAGACAGGCCAATCTGTGTCACCTCACGCACATGGGACCCTTGGGTCTTTTCCTCTTGCCCCTTTCCTTTTGTATTTCCTTACATTTTCAAACTTAAAACAAACACCATTAACTCAATGAGAAGCATCGCTGCTTTCTCAAGATAGAAACGGCTGCTTAGACCTTGCTTAAAGGGATTCAAAATCCTTTTTGAACATTTCATATCTGACAGCTATGACAGAGAAGGCATGGACTGTTCCCATTTGTGCAGTTACATGTACATGTGTGGGGATAGATATGCAATGTATATTATATTTATACAGAATATGTCAGTTTAACATGTAACATTCCATACTTTGATAATCAGGGCTGCATTCAAGATGACACGTCACACACCTCTAGGAAAAAGGGACTAAGTCGGTCTCGGCGGCTTTTTCTTCCCTGTAACACAGCGTCCCAAAATGAAGTCTGATGACGAGGTTGACGACGGCTCATTACAGCCAGGCGCCCTGGGAGCCTGGCCTTCACAGCCTGCTGGGAGCAGCGCGGGCAGGTGCCATCCGTCCTCACACTCTCAGCTCCCTTTTCATCAGTCATCCTCACTCTTATGAGGGTGCCGCTTCACCTCTGGATCTCCTTTCCAATTGTACTGAGAAAGTAAGAGTCAAAAGAAGCAATTTCAAAGTTGAAGCCCTAGGTTAGAATTACCCCGACTACAGATTCGCCAGTACAAAGGATACAATATTTATCCTGAACTAAAAGTACAATTTCCAAGTAGGAAAATTCTTTTTGAAATCAGGGCATATTCAGAGAGTCCTGCTATTGGTGAAGTTAGCCCTTTTCTGTGAGGAAGGGGTGGGGAGGGGTGGCTTTCGGATGGCTTATGGGTAGCATTCTCAAGGGCCTTGAAAAGTGTGTGGGAAAATTGCAGTATCTTTTAATTTGATTTTTCTACGAACTCTGTGAAGCCCCGTGTAGGTGAAAAAATCCTTCTCCAGGGGAAAGTAAACCCTGCTGGCGAGGATGCGCCCACCAGCGGAGAGGGAAGGGCAGTATATGTGTGAAGGTGAATGAAGGTGGTAAGTAGAGACACAGATACTAATAGTTTCGTAAACTCTAAAGAGGAAAATCCAACACTCTTTATTATAATTGGGATTTTTTTTTTTTAAAAACCCTATCTAAAACGGAGGTCTATCTGCCATAGACAGACGGGACTAAACATTGACAGGAGCACAACAGAACTCACTCCTGAAGCCCAGTTTGGATGTAACAGCTCTGAGCTGTGTCCTCTGAACGTGAACCCCCAAATCAGATGAGCCACCTGACCAGAATGAGTCTTGCTTGATCAGCGGGGTAAATGATGGTTTTTGTTTAGATCTTGGTCTTTGGATCTAAGGTTTGGTTGGATCTTGGCATGTTTTCTGTATGGACATGGGCCGGAGCAGGATTTTTAAACGGGCAGATGAATCCCTGAAAGTTCACTCTGACGACGTCCTACTGCACTGTGTGCTTCTGTCAGTCAGACCCTCGGTCTCTAGCTTCATTCACACCTAACTCCTACGTTTCCTCCTCTAAAAACTGTAGTGCTTTCAACAAGAGGAAAACAATAATAAAAATAGCAATAATTAAAAAGGTAATCTACATTAGTTGCTTCCTTCTGGTATATTACAGTGGCATTTTCTGTACATGGCCCAGAACTAAGTTCCCTTATGTACAAAGAGACCCGGAGGGCAAGTGTCGACCCTGGAGTCTCAGCCTTATGCCTTGAAAAACCAGGATCCTTTCTTCCATCATCTGGTCCTTCTGCCTTCGCAACACTTTTGAAAACCAGAGGGGCTGGAGGAGGGGCGGGAAGGAGCTCGGGCGCACTTCCTTTGGTCTCCCTCCGCAGCCCGTCTGCTTTCGGCGCACAGTCAGCAGCTGCTGTTTTTGAATTCACCATTCTCCGTGATGGAAAGCTTGGTGGGGCTGGTGGGGGAGATGCCGTTGCGGACCCGCATGCTGTACCGCTCCTTCACTTGGGTCAGCGCGCTCATCAGTCTGGTGTTGGCCGAATCCAGGGACACGATCCGTTTTTCCTACAACACACCAACCGGGGCTTTATTTAGACCGCATGTAGCAACCCCGCACCACGACACACCCTTGCTTTTGGAAACCATTGCACCAACGCTTTGTATTGGACAGCAGCACGCATGATGCTCCCAGACAAATGGAACGTCTCTGCCTCTTTCTGCACATCAGTCAGTCAGTGGGAGCTCCCCTTGGGCCCAAGGGGTCTCCATGCATCGCCTCTCCTCTCCTTTCTGCAGGTAGCGCTATGGGCAGGGCAGGGAGGTGTCTAGCTGCCTTGCACACCAGGGAGTGCTTTTTTTTTTTCTCCCAACATGGAAACAAGGAATTGGGAGGCGACGAAAGAAGCACCAGAGGTTTCATTTCACAGAGGTGGAAGTGCATGTGATCTATGGGCTCCGAGAGCCAACGAGGGCGCATCAGTCACAGCTGGGCGCGGGTTCACATTGTGCTCAAAATTAAAACCATACGCGGTGGCAGTTTATATCACCGACAAAGTGAGGATGCAACAGCAAGAGAGGGAAAGCAGCCAAAAGCTCAGCCTGGGGGGTGACTTGAGTGTGGGAGCGGGATGTGGCTGGAGGGGACGCCATAAACATGACACATGAGAGACACACAGAACACACGGCTCCTAGGCCCATTCCAGCTCAGAGGCACTCACGCCAGGGCGGCTACCCATAAGGAGATTGTTTGTATTTTGCTTTGGAATCTCTGAAAAAACAAAACAAAAACCCAAAAAACCCAAACCAAAAATACACCTTTTATTTTCGTTTGGACTATATTACTTTGGATCAAAGGATTGTGAAATTTACAAAAAGATGGTGGTGGGGGTGGAGGTGGTGGAGGCAGAAGGGAAGGGCCAAAACACAGTTGAGAGGGCAGTGGGACTGTCTAACACGAGAGAGCCACTCTACTCTGAGCTAGCCAGCTCTCGGCAGACCTGTCCCATGTGCAGTCTACGCTTTTCAGGAACAAGCTAACTCTGAAAAAGACAGTTTGGCCGATAAATGATAAGGGGAAGTACCCCAAGAACAAGCCCAAATCCCAGAGGGCTGTTCTCTCTTTGGGAGATGCTGGGTTTCCTGGGACAAGCTCATTGGGCACCAGCAGTTGTGGGCCCGAGGGCTGGTTGCTATTATAGTAGTGGCTACCTGGGGCCATAGTACAGCACCGCTCTGGGGGGAGCAGGCTGACAGATGGGTGCATAGGTAGTCCATTGTCCGGGAGGAAAAACAGAAGACTTTAAAAAATTCATGGAAAAATTCTATTTCAAGTCCATTTTTTCCACAAATTCTTTGAAATCCCTTTGTACTTAGGCAAAACTATATAAAAGAACAACAATCAATGCTTCCCTGTAATCTCCTACTTTGTAGGGGGGGGGGCGGCGGAGAAGCATCTGCATGGCAGATTACAGGGTAGTCTGAGTTTCAAAACTTATGGGGTGGGGGGAAGAACTCTAAAACATTAGCTTGCACTTGTCACTATTATTTTAAAAAAACCCCTCCTTGCCCTGATGGAAGACATAGGGGGAGACATAAAGTCAATCTGTGCTACTGCCTGAGCTGACCACTGATCTGGCATGAGTAGACACTTTCTACCTCAGGCCTCTGAGTCTGAAGGATAGGCGACACTCACAGAAAGACTCGTGAGGCTTTTCATATTTTTGAGGTTTACAAAACAATACTTAAAAAATTTTAGTCCTAAGAGTTTACTGTGGTAATAAGCACAGATCTTTTAAAAGTCACTGGATAAGGATTAGACAGTGGGCACCAAAACCTAAAAGAGTATCTATAAACAGAACAAGGAACAACTTATTAAAGTGAGAACAAGTTATTTCACTATAGGGATAAATTGGAGGTCTTAATACTGAGGAAAGCTAGATTCATCAGAGCTCATTAGAAAAAAGGAAAAAAAAGTTATGTCTTTTAGTATTTGATTTTGCCAGGGCCAAAAATAAGGCCAAGAATGATTCTCAATGGCTATTGTCTAAAAGGGTAAAATTCAATCCAAGCAGCCCCTCATAAATAGCTCAAAGTTCCCAAGTAGGGTGACCTCTGTAATTCCCTGCTGTGCAAATCCTCAAAATCAGACAAGAGGCAAAACAATACTAGTAATGGGAAAAAAAATCAAACAGGGATTTTTGAAAGGCAACTTTAGTTGGCAAAAGATGCCCTGACATTGAGCATCTGCCTGGATTGGCAGCCAGAGGGATCTAGTCGGTTCCTGACACGAAGGGTTTCTGGGGGGAGTGGCAGGAGCTGGAATGTGTAGGAGGCCAGTGCACTGGGCCAGGCTGGCGACTGCTCAGCTAGAGAACGGACAGGGTTTACTTGCCTGTTTGAATAATCTCATCTCCATTTATGACCTGTAATTTAACACAGTGGAGATATCACTTGCAACAGTAACTAGGCAGCTGCTTTGCTTCCCCTAGGAGGAAGCCCTTCTCTTATCTCCATCTGAGGCTCATGGAGAGATCCGGCGTCAATGTCAACTCAGCTGGGGAGGGAATGAGAGGTGACACATTGCCTGCTCTGGTAAGCTTTAAAAGCTGGTTCCTCAGTGCCCTCCCTCCCCAGGCCCATGCTACCAGGTCTGGGACATGGGGTCCTGTCACTCCTAATGGAACTTACTTTGGGTGGAGTATCAGCGATGCAGTGCTCACTCTTTCCCAGGCCCAGTCTAGGGAGCGGCTGACCCAAGCCTGGTAGTGTGCATTGACTCAAGGACAGGGAGAGGCTGACTCCAGGCCGTTTTGTGAGAGCACGGGGCTGCTGAGAGATGAAAGCCAGGTCACTGGGTACCCGACCTGTGAGTATTTGGGGAAATGTTAGGCCTACACTATATTCTTTTCAGATTTTTTTTTTGATGCTAGTGACATAAAAATACAGGTTACCTCACTGGGAAGTACTCATCACAAATATGTCTTCATTCTATTAAATGACGCCAGAGACTCCGCCAGACTTGGACTCACAAGGTGAAAGATTAGACTCACAAAACAAAAGATCTGATACAAAAAGTCATTCATTACAAAGGATGTCAAAAGATGTCCAAATGTTTTTGCTATAAGAAGATATTAATGTATCAATAAATGCAATAGCTTGAACTTGGAAACCCTCTTTTGAAGGAAGTGATAATTGGCTCACTATTTCAAAATGTGTTCTAGAAGAGTTTATAAGTATTCTTTAGGCTCTCTGGTAGAATAATTTATTAAGCAGCAATACCTATGTTTGAATAGCAACATATATTTAACAAACTCTAGTGTGGTTTGATCTGTGAGCTGAGAGGGGTGGTTGCTGCTGAACAGCCAATAGGAGCAGCTGAAGACTGACCTGACCTATGCAAGGTGCCTTTGGTTCCACCAAAATAGCTTGGGGAACCGGGTCATTGGAGAACCACTGCCTTGAGTTACGGAGCCCCACTGTTATCCAGGTTAGCCAGGTCAGATGCACGGGATGAACTGCTGTTTGGAAACCATTTCTCCATCTTGACAGCATGACACTTCTAGTCAGCTGAGAGGAAGCTGTTTATTTCCAGGGGGTTTTGAGCACTCATTAAGAAGATTCCCTCCCTGGCATTCACTGTCCATGACGATGACTCTTGCTACTCACCCAGTTACCTTGCTCTAGATCTCAAATAGGGGCCAGGAGGAGAGTACAGCTCTTCAGAAGCAAACGAGGGACAGGGAATACCGACACACAGAGCTGAACCCCCCACAGCTTCAGACTGTCTGTCTTTCAACCAGCTCCAGTTATTAGAACAGCACGGTCGTTAGAAAATTACTCCTGCTTTATCCTGTCATATTGAATACTCAGAAGTACAAATTCAGCAACGTTCGTCTTCCTGACTAAATTTCCTTCTTTATCTAGGCAGTTACTCTGGGTAAAAAAAAAATTCTTTTTCAGTAGAGAAATGGCTACCTCAAAGCATTCACCTCAGGGACACCTGGCCAGGGTAAAAAGAAGATCAAGTCAGTTAATTACAGCAGACTTTTAAAAAGTGATTGTTAGTGGGCCCAAATATTCCCCGACTAAGGAGTTCACAGAGGAGCCCATAATCCTCAGGGGGAACCATGCTGATGAGGGGCAATCCACTCCATACCTGGTGGCAAGGCCAGACAGTGGCGGCCCTGGAAGGATACGCCTCAGAGCTGTGCTTTCAGTCTCACTCTCAATTCCTTTGAAAAATAAATGCATCCCACGTGGACCCTCTATAGAAACTAAGGTGTTCCATGCACATGGAAGGACATGGAGCATGATACGCAGAGAAGGGAGCATGACATTTGTGAGTAAAGACCTTGTTCCCAATTTTATTGTTACATTTGGGACACAACATGGCAGTTAGACGTGAGACATGCAAAACTGGCTAAGCTGTCCTCAGGGATATTCAGCAGCTGGATCAGGCACCATCAAAACCGCATTCCTTCTGCTATTTGTTTAAGTCTCAGAAATACAACCATATTCTGCACTGATAAGATGAAGATGAATGAGATCCTGCCTACTGGATTTTGTGTTGATCACTAAAGTAACCCTGTGGGCTGCTCCTGGCAGTCACCTGCCCTGTTGGTGTCACAGGTATAAGCTGCAGTGAGTAGAGATCCAGGTTCCGATTTCATCAACCTTTTCTTTTACCAAGTTTTATCAAAAGAGGCTCTCTAAGCACAGCAACAACAACAAAGGGCAGCCAAGCAAATTCCAAGCAGCAGTGCCAAACCCCGGACTGAAAGGAGAACAAGGAAAGGAATCTCTCCCACTCTGCCTCCCCTGCAGCTCTGCTGCTTCTGGGGCTGGCGGCTGACTGCACAGTGGACGTGACTGACAAGACCGTGAATGTCACAGCTACGCAATGGTCAGTGGAAGTCACAAGTCAGACAAATGCAGTGTCCTCTTCAAAGTTACCCCTTCAGAGAATGCCCACCTTTCCACAAGGAGAGAAGGAAATCCCATCATGCATCAGTTTGAGATTTGTCAAGCAACTTCACATAGCAAGCTAATGCTTTGCTGGGTGAACAGACTTGTCACCAGTGAGGGGGAAGGGAAAGGAACGAAGGTCACATAGGAACTCTTTCAATCCTCAAAAAGTAATGTCAAGAACTTTTCACAGACCAATTTTCCTGCCTTGGCATTTGCAAAGAATGGGAAGGCAGGAAACAACATTTACTCTGAACAAGTGCCTTCTACTAGGTTTGGAGTCTGCTCACCTGTGCATCAATGATTTTCTGCTTTGCATCAATAACTGCTTGCATCTCTGCATGATCCTTCTTCAATTCCTCTTCCACAGCCATTAGCCTAGAAGACAGCAGGAAGGAGACATTCACATCTTCACATTCACTAGCACAGAGAACAAGAAGCTCAGAACGCACAAGAGCTCAGTAGTTTTTCTCCTTTCTAAATACTGCTATCTTCAACCATCTTTCCCTTCTTCTCATCCACTTTGGAAGAACCCACAGTCAAAGGGTGACTCTTCTGTGATGAAAGCCCATGTTCGTCTTCTCGGGAATGCTTCTCTTGCAATCATTTCTTCCATGACTATTTGATCTGTTCGATCATCCCCTCAGCATAACTTAGTTCAACCTAAAATATCACAGCTTTTAGTACAATTATCAAAGCTAAACCCAAGCCATTGCCGCTGAGTCAATTCTGACACACAGAGGCCCCAGAGGACAGGGCATGGTCTCCGAGGCTGTGAGTCTTTCTGGAAGCGGACTGCCACATCTTTCTCCTGCAGAGTAGCTGGTGAGTCCAACTGCCTACCTTTCGGCTAGCAGTCATGCACTTAACTACTGCATCACTGCCGCTCCTTAGTAAGATCATTAGGGACCTTTATACTACTAAAGTAATAAGTCTTTCTAACCTCAGGTTACCTGACCTTTCCATAGCTGAAAATATTGACACCTCATGCATGGGCTATGGAGCTTGACTGCCTGCATTGAAATCCTGGCCCCACCACTTACTGTTCGACCTTGGGTAGGTAGGTGACTTCATGAGCCTCTGCTTGTTTCTTTGTAAAATTAGAAAAAGACCGTTTTTAAGGATTATAATGAAGAGTAAACAATTTATTATTTGTAAAGTACTAAGGTGTGCCTGATCCAAGCTATGGTGTTTTCAATCACCTCATGCATCTGAAAGTTGGACACTGACTAAGGGAGACTGAATGAACCATCGAGGGATGTGAACTACGGCGAGAATATGGAAAGTACTATGGACCGCCAAAAGAACAAACAAGTCTGTCCTGGAAGGAGTACAGTCAGGATGCTCCTTAGAAGCAAGCATGATGACGCTTCATTTCACGTTCTTTGGACGTGTTAACAGGAGACCAGTCCCTAGAGAAGGACATCTTGCTTGATAAGGTGGAGGGACACCGTAAAAAGAGGAAGGCCCTCAGTGCAATGGACTGAAACAGTGGCTGTAACAATGGAATCAAGCAGGATAATTGTGAGGATGATGCAGGGCCAGACGATGTTTTGTTCTATTTACATAGGGTTGCTATGAGTTGAAACCGACTCCATGGTGCCTAACAACAACAACAAAAACAACAAAGTTCTTAGGTAAGTGCTATATAAGTGCTTGGTAAAATCCACCTTTCTCATAATCTCCCCCAAGGGATTCCTGTGCGGCACAACGGGTCAAATGTCACTATTAACCAAAAGGTTGGCTTTTGAACCCACCCAGAGGTGCTTTGGAAGAGGCGTGCAGTCTGCTTCTGAAAGGCCCCAGCCTGGGAAATGCTATGGAGGACCACAGGAGTTGCGGGTCAACTCGACTGCAACTGCAGCCTCACATTTAGGAAATTTTAAGAACTATAGCCAGCTATTGCTGCTCTTCTCTGGGGCCTTTGTGCATCTCCCCACCTCTCCGTTGCCCCTCCACCACCAAGGGCTTCTCCGACCTGCTGATGATGCTCTTCATCTGGCTGTCCTTCTCTTCCTGCTGCCTGCGCAGCCGCTCCTCACTGTCCTCCAGCCGGGCTTTGTACTCCAGCAGCAGCTTCTGCATCTGTTGCTCCTGCACCAGCAACCGGCGCTCATACTCCTCCAGACGCCGGCTCGACACTCTCAGGCGCTCCTTGAGCTTAGTAATTTCCTGCTCGTACTAAAGCAGAGGAGAAGAGGAGTCAGAGAGGGAGAGAGAGCAATGGATGCAGTTTGAGCGGCCGCTGGCCATGTGCTGCTAACCTTCTTTAAAGTTATCAACACTCATAAATGGTAACGCCACTTGGCTTTCTCCCTAAAATTACATTTTCAACCTTTACTTAGCATTTACAATCTTTATATTTATGTAGCTCTCTCTACATTAGACTTCCAGTTGCTGCAAGTCACATCCCATCTGTGAAGGTATCATATGGGAGCAGGTGAAAAGCAAGCTTAAGCATGAAGCCTGACAAATCACTCCACACCAACAGGAAAGCTTCGGCATCATTATCTGCACTGCGAGGTCTCTGACACAACGCCGCTCCCTCTTTCTACGAGGACCATTCCTTCAGAAAACAAGCAACATTTCTGTAACGCTAAGCTACTAAACCACTGAGCAGGGTTTGATGGCACGTAGTAGGCCATTACTGCCTTTTCTCCAACTGTAAAGGTGTAAAACACACTGGTCACTAGAACTGATTAATACCGCCCTTTGGCCCTGTTACAAGGATACCCAGAGGCCCAATGGGTTATGAAGTGGGTTGCTAACGGCGTAGTCAGCATTAGGAAGCCATCGGCTGCTCCTCGGAGAAAGATGAGGCTGTCTGCTCGGGGAAAGACTTACAGCCTCAGAAACCCAAAGGAGCAGCTCCACTCCACTTGTGCAGGATCCTCCGAGTCAGAATCGACTCCATAGCAGTACGTCTTCTTGTTGTTGTTTTTAAAACCCATTTCATGATGTGGCTCAACTGTTTATTTGGTACCACTTCTGGGTACAGAGATGTCTATTTTCTCACTAGTTAACTTTATATGAATTCAATAATTCACATGGTTATATGGGTCCTTTCTTACATGGAAGTGTAATTATTTTTAATTGTTACGATTTTAAAAAACCAGAAAGGCCCCATCTTTGCAGCCTCGCATTTTCTAAGCTATATTCACACTTTCTAAGCATGATGAGAAGCATAAACTTTCTTGTGGTCTACGTATGTTCATCAGTGACTATGAGACCTTTGCATGGTGCTTTATAAAATGTGATTTGTTTTCATATAAAATTACCTCATTTACAAGGGAACAACAAGCGATCCAAATTGGTGGGGAGGTGGGTGTGGGAGACCTGGTAGGGCAGGA